GTATGGAAGAGCCTGCGTGAAAAAATTGCCGAAAATCAACAGTAATTCCTAGCTACTTAAAACTTGTATTTTGTATTACTCAAAAAAATTCTAAAAAATCTGATAAAAAAGTTGAAAATTTGCTGAATTTTCGTGAGTTTTGCACACAGTTTAGGAGTTATATTTTTATGTTCTTTGTTGTAGAATGAACCATACTTTTATAAAAATTTGGCGGAATAATATTAGTAAAGAAAATTGTTGCATACATTGTGAAAAATTTGCTGTGCCAATACTTTTTGCCGGCATTGTATCACTTTTGTTAATTTTTTTTTAAGTTTATGTCCATGCATAGGTTTTTATTCTTTTCTAGGAAAAATTACTTAATTGGCATGGAATATGGAAACTATTTTTTTTTTTATTCTGAGGTGGAGTTTTTTATGCGAGCAGATTTTTTGGCTTTAAGCTGAAAAATTAAATTTTCCATTTATTCATATATTTCAATGTATTCGCTGTGGCTCTGGACATTGTTGCTGGTAGTACCAGCATCGAAGCATCCATAAAGCCACGTTCTGATAGACGGAAAATATGTGTCGAGCGTTCTTGGCGTACAATAAATGCAACAATTAAACATTATATACATAGGTACATACGTGAGCAAATAAAGCAATTGCAGTTAAAGGAAAATTTTTTTGCAAAAATATCCATATCCATTTCGTTATTGATATCATTCGTTAACGTTCTCATCATAATCAACTTCATATACTCCTTTCTATTTGCGTAAAAAAACAACAAACATTACTTTGTGGCTTTTATTTGTTAATGCTTCAAGTTAACGGCTGTTGAATGCTTAATCTGTATTTCAATATTAATACATATCAGACGCAACTTTACCCTACCGAATTCAAACAAATTCAAATGAAAATACTCTTTAGGCAAGAGGCATTTACATACGCACATATGCATGTAGTTATGTAAATATTTAGTTACTGAAGAACACCAAAATAAAATTTTAAAAAACTAATATGTATGTATATACATATAGTACATACATACCCTGCAGAAAAAAAATTACCAATTGATAAAATATGTATAACCAACTTGTAGTTAGCTTAGTTGCGGAATTTCTATAAAATATATAACTTGTAGTTAGCTACAAAAAAATGTTTTGTTTTCCTTATTGATGTTTTTTTCCAAAAATAGTTACAAGTTAGTTGACATCAAATGCAGAGGTAACCACCCCTGGCTAATTCACGGCCATCGCCATAGAAATATAGTTAGCTTTCCTCAAAGAAAATAATTAACTTCGAGTCAATTTATAGTTAGATACATTTCCCGCAGGGTAAACATTCATATCTTGGAACAAAGCAGACCCAAGAGTTCCACTAAGTTTAAAGTCAGTTTGTTAAGTTAATTTGTTAATTCGATAAACTGGCTTCAGTGTTTCATCAAATCCGCAGTCGAATATGTTATCAGTGCCGAGCATAATTATCAAACTTGTTGCTCGTAATTTATGTATATCCATATCCATATACACATTTTCATAAACATACATACAGTGACTCAAACAAATGACCACGTGTTGTTTTTTTTTTTTAATATTGGTAATATTTTTCCAGATAAATTTTTTTTTGTTATTTTTATATAAAAATATTGTCTAAGTTTTAACCAAAACCGTGTAAATCACAGTTTCAAACTTTATACAAAGTTTAGGAAAATTCAAAAAATTTTCATCAAAATGTCAACTTTTTGTTCCCAATTTTTAGAAAATTTTTGGGTATGCAGTTTTATAGCCCATACAATTTTAGTCTATTGAAGTGCAAAATTCAAACGGCAAAAAACGCGTTGACTTTTGAGAATGAAATTTAGCTCGAAAAACATTACGAATATTTGAAGAAAATCAACACGTGGTCATTTGTTTGAGTCACTCTATATGCATTTATATACGGGTTACGTCCCAAATTCTAAATGATATTGTTGCAACTTATGTTTATTTATTTATTTTTAATAATTTTCATTTAACGTATAATTGAGTGTTTTGAAGTTTACTCAAATTTAACAAAAATTAATCAAGCTTCAACAAATTTCCATCAAAATTTCAAACTTTTTAATCAGGATCTTTAGAAAATTTCCGGGTATGCAGTTTTGTAGCTGAAAGTTACTGTTGATTTTTTTTTTTAATTTTTTTTTGTGGAGGATGTTGTGCATTCCTTATAACGCATGATCAAAATCTTTTTTTTTTTATATGGGAGAAAATGCACAAGACCCTAAAAAAACCAAAACTCTAAAAAATCAACGGTAATTTTTAGCTACTTGAAACCTACATTAAGAATTGAATGGACTACAAAACTGCGAACCTGAAAAATTTCTAAAGATTCTGATATAAAGTTTGAAATTTTGATATACATTTTTTTAAGTTTGATTATTTTTGGTGAAAATTGGGAACATTCCGCCATATTGGACTTTATGTTTTTTGTTGTTTTTTTTTTTGCGATTTGTAAGCTTATTCGTTTTTCGTAAATGGTTACATACTATTTTGTAGAGAATTTAATTTCCGAAATTTTTACTTTTTTCAAATATTCAGGTGTCGAAAGTTGTAGAGAATTTCATTCCCCACAACTCTTGTGCGAACATTTCACGAACTGAACGTGCCATACATAGCGAATGTAAGGGAAGCCGCGTAAAATTTACATCCACCTCACGTCAACCGGTACAGTACGATGGCAAAAATTCTATAGAACGGATTACAAAGAATAAGGTCTTAAAATTATCACGTAGACGCCCTCCTATTGAATACAGTGTGGCCCTTTGACAAATTCAACATGGCATCTAAACTAACCGTAAATTAGGTTTTGCTTTACAAATTTTTTGCCAATGGAGAACCCAACACTATAAAAGAAAAGAAAAAGTAACATCAGGTTCTTATGTTTTTGAGGTTTGTGATTACGAACTTCGAGCATGATTTTAAAAATTCATACTGTCGAATTCGTTCCGCTTGAAACGTTTTCCTCTGGGGCTCTTTTGGACGCTTATTACGAATCTGAGATGAGATTCGATTCTTACTAACATGTTACTCAGGTACATATGCTCGATTTCAACTTTTTCCATGATAAATGGTAGATCCAATATGGATCTTTATGTTATAAGCTATGTCCTGTATAGCTGGGAAAAAATCTGGCAGCACTTTTGTTTGGTAAATAGTCACTGTTCGAGACTAGGAATATAATACCATGAATATTGCAGAGAAGAGGGAGATGAAGAAACAGTCGAACACGATTTATAAAAAAAAATTAAATGACAGCACCTTGAGAAAAAGAACTGTTCTTTGAACTAAAGTACGGGTGGTCACCGTTGATATATGTAAAATAACATTAGTGATGTGCAGCTCCATTCAATCGGGCTGAAGACCATGTTTCATCTTCTACAGTAGTGTTGCTGCTATTTTTAGCAAGTTTTAGCAGCAACAGCCTCGGTCGCAGCGCAGTAAAGTTGAAAAAATGTTCACTTGTTTTCGTTTTCAATTTTTCTCACAAGTATTTAGTTTAGTTTTCTAATTTCTTTCTGCACATATTTGTTGTTATTATTTTCTTCAATTATTTTACGTTTCGCTTTGCTAAATTTCAGTTGGCCAATGTCTATAGCAAGCGGCACATTTGTATTCATGCCAAATTTCTTAGTTTCATAGTTATTCTAATGTACAGAATATGTACATACTACATGCATGTGTACACACCATAAGTAATGTATGTACATATGTTTATACATATAATATATATACGTATGTATGGTTAAATGTTTTTTATTTATGTATATACATACATACATACATATGTATTAACCTACATATTGGCACATACTATGTCCGTATGGACACACATACATACATACATACATAGGACCACAAAAGTATTACTTCACCGACAATTTTCGCACAACTTTCAGCTTTTCAGCTACTTTGGGTGGCAGCCACTTTTTCGCAGTTGCAGTAACAGAAAATTTTTGTAATTAAAATTCTAGGTGCGTGGTAAGGTAAAAATAGCATCGAACTTTTTTTTTACAAGACATGATGGTGCAAAGAATCTCTTCACTAACCACCAACTGATTTGGCATAGCCAATATGCAGTGCGAATATGTACTCACACACAAACTCATAACCGTTATTCTCACAATTCTCAATTCTAATATCCTGCTGCCCCGGTACGCTCATTTAACGTACTAGTCCTTAAACATTATTACCTGTTACCCGCTTCAATTTCGATTTAATATTGTGTAACCACTATGTATGTGTGTATGTATATATGTATGTATGTATGTATGTATGTAGGCATGTGGTCAGTTGGTCAGCCCAGACATTTCCTTTATTTTGTTGCTGTTATTTTTTTAGACTTTTTCATACAACTTTGTTCGTGCTTGTACTCGTAAACAATAACAAGGCACTGCAATAAGTAGCAAAGAAAATGAAAAGCAAATAGGTATAAAAGCCACGGTAATTTGTGCGCATATCATCACAGTAACACCTTCTCCCACTTCGACTCTCACTTCCGAACAACATACATACATACATACGTATTATGTATAGACATATTTACATACATATGTATGTTAAAATATGTACATACATACGCCACATCCAGGTCACTGCATTGCGCGAGTGCAATTTTAATCCTTGCGCTCACTGGCTATGCGCACATAAAATTGGGAAGCATTGAAAAATTCCTGACTGACTAACTCACCCACCTAACGCATCTTATTCGAATATTTTTCTACTTATTTATGTAGTAAGGATGGACCACCATATCCTTAACGACAACCACCAACCGTTGGCCAGCCAGTCAGCCGACCATTTAGTCACACGACCAGTCGGTCAGTCAGTCAGTCAGTCAGTCAGTCAGTCAGTCAGTCAGTCAGTCTGTGAGCCAGTGAGCCCATCATTTAACCACCCTCCGAAAGTGGGCTTAATTTTTCGAACTTGTACCTTCCTTCACACCACCGCAACAAAGCAAAAGGGAAAATCACTCTCCTACCCTGAAATGTATCTTTAACGGTTCTTCTTCTCGTCCGTCGTTGCGTTTTTCGAACTTCAACTTTCTTCTACTAATTTTTCTGGAGCCTGCTGACAAATTTTTCACTGCATATCCTGCAAAATTTTATGCACCAATACACTTGTATACATTTTTTTTTTACTCACATTCAACACTGGTCGGTAATTTTATTAAGTTCTTATTAGTTTCCAATAAGAATTTCACAAAACAAAAACTAAATCAATTCTCCACTGCGACCAACAAATTTTCCCGTCCGCGACAAAATGATGTGAAAGAAAAACTAATATTTTTCGTTCTCTGCTAATACATGACTAGCTCTCACCAGTGCTGACAAATCGCTACGCACTCAAAGGCACTCAAGATGGCGCCCGGTTTTAGTTTGTGTGGAGCGCATGGTAGATGTCGCCAACGTTGGGGAGCTCTTGTCTTGACTAAAGAGGAGAACGTAAATTCAGTTTCCTTCAACGTTTACGTTCTTTTGTTTGTTTTAAATTTGTACGTTATTTTAATTTGCAAAAATTGAATTACGCTATTAGATCAGAACCGCATAGCCCACAGACTTAAAACAACATAGCTTTTGCTGATGGAAAGTGCTGGTTTTGATGAAATTTTCTGTCTCAGACCTACTAGGACTCTTATTTTTTCCTCGAGTAATTCATTTGAATCTACCTCGATCGACACAAATGTTTGTGTTTTCGCTTTTGATAGATATCCCGATTAGTACCTTTCCAATGGTATTTCATTTTTGTAATTAGGCAAAAACTAGCAAACTCGAGTTTCGATCGATTTTGCCACGCCCATAAATCATAATTTTTTTCAATTTTGAATGAAACGTGGTGGACGTAGCAGAATGCGTTGATTATACAGTTGACAGGAGACAGCACATAAATTTGGCATGGAATTGGTCGAAACCTCCAGAAAACCACTTGGCTATCCCACGATCAAAGAACAAATGCCGAAGCTGATCATGTTGTGAGAGACGAAAGAGACCGTTCAGCGTTCTTGTCAACAATTCCATTTGAGCCGCCAACATCGTTGCAGCCGGCTCTCAATCCTGCACAAACAAGCAAGGAGAGAGGTGGTTAATTACTACCACCCAAGCGGAAACAGCTGGTGGCAAGGACTGCCGTGTCACCGTTGCTGAGGAAAACAGAGTTTACAGGCAGGACTACGCCCCGAAAACTCCGTGGGCAAATAAGGCCGAAATTGAACGGGTTCAATACCGTTTGATCTAGTTCCTGCAGAGACGCGAATGTTAATTTGGTAACAGACGTAGACTAAACTTTAAATATGAAGTTGATACTTCTCAACCCTTTTGACATGCGACACAAATGGAGCATTTAAGGGAAATGAAACCCAGATCAATATATATAGGGACGAAGCTCCCTTCGCGCCTGTACTATATCCGCCTCTACGACGCCATACGGTTTTGATTCTATTAAAAAGGTTTGCCACCTTTAACAAAATTAAATTCAAATTATTTAATAAGTTAAATGAACCATAAAAAATGGGTATCAATTGAAATGGGGTTTGAAAAGAATTAATTTCTAAGATACATGTAGGGGAATTAGGTAATTAAAATATGTATCATAATATGGATGTTACATAAAGTGCTTTAAGAAGGTTTTAGCTTGAAAATATTTTGAAGAAGGTTGCCACTTGTTTGACAAGACGAATTAAATTATATTTTACACAAGTTTTATGAAATATTAAATTATGGGTTTCAAGCGAAAGAGTGTTAAAAAATTTTGGGTTTGAAAATTTAGAATAAGAGGGTTGCCACCCGTCAGAAAAGTTATGTACATAAGCAAATTACATATTTAATAAGTTAAATGAATCATTACAAGGTCGGTATCAATAGAAATGGGTTTGAAAATGCTTTATTTATAAATAAAATGTAGATGGGTTGCCAGATGTCTAAAAAGTCGAATTAAACTTAAATCATCAGTTAATTGATATAAGGTATATCGTCACTACACACGAATAAAGGCGCACTAGTGTTTTGACGGCGAGAAAAGGCGTGTAAAAAATTTTCCCGAAAAAAGATGCTTATGAAAAACTTCGGCGAAGTATGTTAAGAGTCATTGACACTGAAGTTTTTTTATGCGTCTTTATTCGTGTCTAGTGACGATATGTACATATTTATATCACGATATGAGTGTTAGAAAGAGGTTTAGGAAGGTTTTAGTCTAAAAATAATTGGGGTTGCCACCTGTTTGAAAAATCGAATTTATTTATGAAATATTGAAATATGAGTGACAAACGAAAGAGTTTTAAGAAAGCTCTAGTTTAAAAATCAAATCGATCTCAAATTTCAGTACGAAGTGACCACGATATGCAATAGTATGTACTTGTTAATGAACTAGATCACTACAAGTCTATTACATGCGCCCCATAAACCTCATAAATTGTTCATAATTATTATTATTGAAATTATAAAATCAAAAGTTGTGAAGACTAATCCTATGAGTCTAAGAAAAAATTATTTTCTACTTTTGAGTTATTTCATGTGTTATTTGATTATTTTAAAACTTAATTTTGTCTTGTATAAATGCCTAAAAAATAAAAGCAAAAATTACGAATTATTTACTGATCAAAAAAATTTCGGGTTAATTTAGGTTTTTATTTTTGTCTTAAATAAATAAGATGCAAAATAGTATCTGTCTTTCTTATTCAAAATAATCAAAATAATAAATGCCATGTTTATGGCTATGCCATAAGTTTACTAAATTTTTTAATTTTTATTATGAAATAAACAACGGTCTCTGCTTCATGCTACTTTCGCTATATAATAGTACAAGTTGATTTTATTTCCGGTCACCGGTCTTTTGAGCTAACCACAGCATTTAATCGCACACTCGCTCGATAGAACGGCAGATGGTTAAAGTTGAATCGCGTTCGAACGACTGTACCTTGGAAAAAATTTGCAAACAGATTAGTAATCATGCTATTTAAATTTAAATAAATATTAATTTCTTATTCTTCCACTTAAGATCATTTTGAAATATCTAACCTTAACTTGTTTCATTTCGTTGCCGTCAGATGTCGCTCAAGTAATCGCGATGGTTCATCATTCGAAAAGGGAAACAAAACAAATGTGCACTTTTATTCACCTCACTGGTGAATAGATTTGTTAATTCTGTCGCAGAGTGCGGTTGTGTTTTGTGAGCGGTGTCTCGCGATTTCTTCGTCGGTGATTTGGTTATTTTTTTTTTGATTATTGCTTGCCATGCGTTGCTGTTTGTTCTTTTTGTTGTTGTTGGGTTGTGCGGTTTTTTTTAATTAATGCTGATTTTTTAAATTAAATTAATCATATGCTAGATATATGCTTGCCATGAAATAAAATAAAGTGCTATCGAATATGAATGGAATATGTGAGCTGTACACCAGTAAAACGTGATTTACCAACCACTAGAAACTAACAAAAAAAAAGTGCTATGGTGCCAAAATTAAAAAGAAAAAGCAATAAATAAATACATAATAAATGGGAATGTACTCCTGCAAAAAGCTGCAAAAAAAAAATTATCAACGAATTTGAAAATAAGAAAAAAGAGTGGAAGTGCTGTTAAAAGCAGGGAAAAAATTGAAAAGAGAAATAAAATTTTGGTGGTGCGTTCAATTGTCTGTTTTATGTTGTATGAATACGAAATATCGTGTTTTTGTTTGCTGATTTGCCGATTCGTTTGCTTTCCGTCTGCCGGTTCAAGTTCTTCTGCTTCTCGCCTGTTGCGTTAATTGCGTGCGTGTTTTACTATAGGCGTGTGTGTTAGTGTTGCAACGTGCATACTTATGTATGTATGTGTGTGGAGCGTGTGGCGCGACGTACATATGGAGCAAGTGTCATGCTGCATTGTGGATCGATCGTCGGCTGGAGGTAACGTGGTGGACACACAGCTTCAACAGCAGCAATAACACACATCAGTTTGCATCTTCAACAACAGCGAATAAAACCAATACGCATTTCTTTGAGTGCAAAGATCGCTGTCTAAAGTTTTCTCTTCTTTCTGTGTTGTTCTTTGCAACGGTTTAATGCTGTTTGGAGACAACAACGACGACGACGACGACGGTGGTGTCAAAGAGTGCTATTGTGACTTGCAATTACCAACTGCTCAAACGCTTTGTGGCAGTTATCACCGTTTTTAGGCTATTAACCATAAACCGGCTTATTCCTCATTCAATTGGATTCTTCAAATTCCACGAACTGATCGATCATGCGAAGATCTGCGCTCAACCGGAATCATTACTTTGTATTTGGGATCCTGGTAGGATTGGCGCTGAGTTTATACTTGCCAGAAGATGTGTGGGATCTGGTGCAGAAAGAAGAATGTCCTCAGGAGGCTGCTGAAAATAGTCTGATCGAGAAATTTGGGCAAGATTTCGAACCACATTTAAATTTAATCAGCAAACCATTGGCGGCTAAGAAACCGGTAAGTGTTAATACCAAAATTAGGTTATAATCGGCAGCAAGTTTTCTAAAGTAGCGTGATTAGTGGTTTTAAGCTGAGCTGCTGCTGTTTTCGAAATAACAAAATAATATTCGAGTGTAATTTGCGAAGTTCAAGGACCCTCTCATAGAGGTCAGTTTCACAAAACCACCATTAGGGATGATCCTTGTATCATCCAGGAAAGTGTTCTTGAAAACAAAAAAACTCCCTTTGGGAAGGGTATTCAAAATTATACAAATCAAGGACTGGCAATTTTTCGAGCAACCCTCAAGCTCCACCTTAAGGAAAATGCAACAAATGACTAAAATGGGTCCCAGACTCAAATTTTGTAAAAATTACAGGAAAAAGTCGGGATTTTGAACAATATAGAAAACGGTTAAACAATCCTAGTTGATGCGGTAAAATACGTCACAAGGCGCCCAGGAGAAAATTTGCTCATATGTGCATCCAAAGACGCATGGAGCATCCTCCTTCGGTGATAGTGTGGGTTTCAATCAGCTCAGGAAGGCCAGAACCTCTCCATTTATTAGGTGATACTATAGGGCAAGCAAATAATGATGACACCTAGGGCTTCTTCTAAGAAAAACGCTCCGTGCTTACAATAAAGCTCCTTAAGCGACTGATATCCATTCCCGGAAGTTCATCAGGAGTGTGGAAAAAGTGCGACCTAAAGCGCTCGGCACTCGCCTGTCCAT